TCCAGCCCTCGAAGGTAAACGCCTGAATATATTGCTATATGCCGATGACATGGCTTTAATGGCACTCACCCGAAGAGGCTTACGCAGCATGCTGGAGGGGATCGCAGCTTACTGTTCCCATAACTCACTAAAGATAAACTATGACAAAACAAAAATTGTGGTGTTCACTAGAGCTCGCCACATCTCTAGATGGTCTATAGAGGGACATGTGATTGAACAGTGTCCTTTTTTTAAATATCTGGGTGTTACATTCCAGGCTACATCTAGTTGGCTAGCCCACTTTAAGGCTGTAACCATTTTAACACGAAGAACAATTGGTGCTTTGCTTAGTTTCTTCCATTCCAGGGGGGGACAACTGGTGATCCCGGCACTAAGAGCTTTTGTTGGGAAAGCTATCCCCCAGATGTTATATGGGATAGAACTCTGGGGGTGGAACCAGAGGCTGTTGGAACGGCTTGAAATTTTGCAAAACTATTATCTCAAGAGGATTCTAGGCCTTCCTCAAGGAACCCCAGCAGCTTTCTTGAGGGTGGAGGTTGGATTACCCTCTGTATCTGCCAGGGCCCACTTAAGATTCCTACGATTTTACATCAATCTTGCAAACACTTCAAACACCTTATTGGCCAAACAAGCTTTTGTATCTTTTCAAAAGAACACCACTTGGTGCCAAAACTTATCTGAGATCCTGGTTAGATACACCCTACCGGAGTTTAATATCCTTAAACTGTGGAGCCCGGACAAAGTCCGGAAATGGATCCTGGAGAGAGACGCTTTGTTAGATATCACAAAAATACAGATCCTAGGGTCCTCCCACTGGTTTCCCCGACTGAAAGCAGTCAAAATCTGCGCCAATTATTTGGCGAATATCATCAATCCCACTCTTCGGAGAGCCTTTACTATGGCCCGTTTTCAAACCATTCCTACGGCCTATCTGTCAGGCAGATATGCAAAAATCCCAGTAGAGCAGCGTATATGTCCTTGCCATATGAGAACCAAAGAGGATCTCACACATTACATGTTGTATTGTCCCATCTATTCGGCCTTCAGGGATGCGATGCTACAAACTATTCCCAAATCAATAGTCAACTCTGAGGACCAAGTAAAGTTTTTACTGGTGGACGCTGATCCACGGATTTCTCACGTGGTAGCGGTCTTTGTGGTGAAGGCTATGAAAACTAGGGTATGGTTCCTGGATGAAACGGTGAGGTCCCTTCCATTGCTCTCCTAACCTGTTGCTATATCTTCTTCCCTGAATGGTGGGGTTTATTGGGTAGTTTCCTTGCTGGGACAGCATGGCACGAATTTTAGCTTACTTTTATAATTTTATTGTTTATCTTTTAATAATGTTTTATGGTATTTTGTGTAAAGGCATGGACCTCACAAATTTAATAAACTTGACTTGAGGACTCTTTGACATCTGGTGCGAGGGCGTTCCACAGGGCGGGCGCCACCACCGAGAAGGCCCTCTGCCTGGTTCCCTGCAACCTCACTTCTGGCGGCAAGGGAACCAAAATAAGCCAGTGTGGAACTAAGAGCAGGGAGAGAGGAGACAATTCCAGTGTTCGTGTGAAGCCCAGAAGCTGAAATCAATTGCACAACAGCCCAGTTGTAGCACACAATATTAGCAGAGGTGAACTTATTCACTCATTCATTCACTTGATTATTTACTGGGGGGGGGGGCGGAGAGGGAAGAGAGAAAACCTTTCACACCACCCATTGGTGGTCTTAGACGGAAGGTGGGTTGGTCGTTGGCATCTGTCCATCTCGAGAGACAATGGTATGCGCCTCTGGAGGTGAAGGTAAACCGCAGGAGAATCACAGCGCCTGTTGCGGCTGCAGAGACCGGTAACTCATAATGGCTGCCCCCCATGTTGTTTTTGCTGTGTTGGCAGCGACGAAGTGACTTATCTGGGATGCAAGCCTGGGCAGTGAGTCTGGAGATCCTGGGCTGCCCAGAAGACAAGACCCCCCAGGAAAGAAAGCAGAGCAAGATGCTTGGCCGCCATCCAACTGCCTTAAGGACTCCGCTCTGGATTGGTGTGGGGTTCACCCCTGAGCCTTTTCTTCTCCAGAGATATCCCACAAGGCAGTGGAGGTTTGGACCAGAATTTCCTTTCTCCTAGGTGGGCTCCCTTCCCGGGTGGCTGAGCCCTTTCTGCCCCTCAAAGGTGGGGCATAAATGCAAATACAGTGGATGCTTGGGTTGCGAATGCGATCCGTGTGGGATGCACATTCGCAACCCACAGCGTCCGCAACCTGCAGCGGCACGTCTGCGCACGTGCAGGTTGCGATTCGGTGCTTCTGCACATGCCCAAAGCGCAATTTAGCGCTTCTGTGCATGCGTGACCACCAAAACCTGGAAGTAACCTGTTTCGCTGGTCCGCAACCCAAAAAAACGCAACCTGAAGTGTCTGTAACCCGAGGTATAATAATAATAATAATAATAATAATAATAAATTTTTATTTATATCCCGTCCTCCCCAGCCGAAGCCGGGCTCAGGGCGGCTAACAACAATAAAACAAGACAACATTTTAAAATCATTTCATTAAAAAATTACTTCAAATCAAATTGATGGCAACCATTGGGTAGAGTTCTGTGAAGATTGCCAAAGGAGGGGGTCAGGCTGTGCCCTGGCCAAAGGCCTGGTGGAACAGCTCTGTCTTGCAGGCCCTGTGGAAAGATGACAAGTCCCGCAGGGCCCTAGTCCCTTGTGGCAGAGCGTTCCACCAGATCGGAGCCACAGCCGAAAAAGCCCTGGCTCTGGTTGAGGCCAGCCTAACAGTATGATTGTAATAGAGCACACATTATTTAACTTCACACGAGTACAGCGCCCCAAGACCTCCTTGCTTGCGCTCCTCGCGTAATGCACAGGCTTGGGGGTCTTCCACATGTTCTCGAAACAGGTCCGTGCTTTAAAGCACAGTTTCTGAGCATGTTTCTTTTTGCCCTGGCCCTTTCCCTGCAAAACTCCGCTCTTTACTGCTGAATCGGAACAAACAGCAATTCAAGTTTTCTGCCCAGACCTTAGTCACTGCCTGTGATCTCGCTAGAGACTCGTGATCTTGCATTTGCTTCTGAATCATTTCCTGCCTTCAGCGGCCGGCCAGCAGCTCCCAGCCCCTCTCTGCCTCTTGCCCTCCAATCGTTGGCCGGCCCTTATCTCTGACCCTCAGAGCAAGGGAGGGAGGCGGCTGGAATGGAGATTAGCTTTGCTGCCTGCCTTGGCGCTTGGCAGGGCTGGGGAAGGCTGTCTGGGATGGGCAAGGGGGAAACATGCCCATTGGTCAGACCCCAAAGCGGAGCCTCCAGACGCAGGGGCAGTAAGAGCAAGAGAGCAGCCCTGCAGGGTCAGGCCAGTGCCCTGTCTCTTCCACCATCCTGTTCTCCCAGCGGACAGCCATATGCCCCAGTGGGAAACTCGCAAGCAGGATTTGAGCACTGGAGCGACTCCTCCTAGCAAGTGGGATTCAGAAGCATGGCTGAAATGAATTATTTTATTTTACATTTATATTTGATCCTAAGAGCCAACTTCCTTCCTTCTTTCCTTCTGGCTTTTTATATCACATCTAAATTTTTCGCATTGTCTTCATCTATTTTGTATATTATTGTTCTTCTTTCGTATTTGTCCATAGAGTGTCTATAGCAAAATAAACCCTCCTGTATATACAATTCTTATTGTCTATTCATTTACAAGTACCATTGATTAGATTAATCACATTATACATTTTACTTTTCATTATTTTCTTTATCCAGAAATTTTCTTTGTATTTCACATTATGAGGTTTATTTCAGTTCTGCTGGTTTCACTATTTCACCTTGTCCTTCCTATGCATGACATAAATTTTCCCCGTTCCTTTTGAAATGTTTCATCGCCCTGTTGTCGAATTTCCCCCGTTAATCTAGCTATTTCTGCATATTCCGTATTCAGCATATTCCATTACCTTCTGTCGCCATTCTTCTACTGTGATAATTGTTAATGAAAATCAATATATTATGAATTGCAATGAATTATTTGATGCCTTTCCTTGTATCAAAGCAAGTAACCCAGTCTCAGAGAGATGCAGATCTCGACAGACGGAGGGCATGAGATGCTTGCTTGCAGTTCTGTGTGGAACAGCTACTGGTTGGGGGGGCTGTTGTGTTCACCCCTGAGAGAGCTTGGGGGGTTGCTTCCAGATGGGTGTCTGATACAGGATCTTGCTGCTGGATCAGGCTAATGGCTCATCTGGTCCAGCATCCTGTTCTCACAGTGGCCAACCCGCAAGAGTCTCCTTTTCCTGCTGGGACAAGCTCCCCTCCCCACTGGTCTCCCAGAATCAGAAGAGGCAGAAAAAGGGCAGAGGAGAAATGAGCTTCATGCAAGCTTCACAAAGTTCTGGAGAGGAAGGGACTTAGATGGTTGTGGGGAGGCAGGGACTTTCAGTCTCGGCAACTGACTCACGGGGCAAGACCTACCAGGGATAAGCTGCTGCACTCATAAAGCCTGATGCTTTGCCCAGTTTGTGCAGTTTGCATTCTTGCTAATAAAGAGTTGATTCAAACTTGCACAGTGTGATTTACTGCCGGCTCGTTCCCGACAATACTGAGCAAGGCGTGTAGACAATACCGAGCGAGGCGTGTAGACAATACTGAGTGCGCCGTGTAGACAACACTGAGCAAGGCGTATAAACAACACTGAGCAAGGCATGTAGCCAATACCGAGCACGGTGTGCAGACAATACTGAGTGAGGCTTGCAGACAACACTGAGCGAGGCGTGTAGACAATACTGAGCGAGGCGCGTAGCCAATACCGAGCACGGTGTGCAGACAATACTGAGCGAGGCGTGCAGACAACACTGAGCGAGGCGTGTAGATAATACTGAGCGAGGCGCATAGACAACACTGAGCGAGGCATAGAGACAGCACTGACTGAGGGGGGGCCTCAGTTGAAGGAGCTTCTTCCTCTTGGGCTTCTCCTCCTTGCCCTGACTGTGTCTTCCTTCCATCTCTCCCCCTGCAGATTTCTGAAGGCGAGAGGAGAGGAGGTGCCAGGGCAGCCGCCATGCAGAGCATCAAGTGTGTGGTGGTGGGGGACGGGGCGGTGGGCAAGACCTGCCTGCTCATCTGCTACACGACCAACGCCTTCCCCAAGGAGTACATCCCCACCGTCTTCGACAACTACAGCGCCCAGAGCGTGGTGGACGGCCGGACGATCAGCCTCAACCTGTGGGACACGGCCGGCCAGGAGGAGTACGACCGCCTGAGGACGCTCTCCTACCCGCAGACCAACGTCTTCATCATTTGCTTCTCCATCGCCAGCCCGCCCTCCTACGAGAACGTCAAGCACAAGTGGTACCCGGAGGTGTGTCACCATTGCCCCGACGTCCCCATCCTGCTGGTGGGCACCAAAAAGGATCTCCGCTCCAGCCCGGAGGCGGTGAAGAAGCTGAAGGAGCAGAACCAGGTGCCCGTCAGCACCCAGCAGGGCATCAGCCTCTCCAGGCAGATTCACGCCGTCAAGTACATGGAGTGCTCAGCCCTCAACCAGGAGGGCATCAAGGACGTCTTCACGGAGGCCGTCCGTGCCGTCCTCAACCCGGCCCCCATCAAGGCCAAGAGACCCTGCGCGCTCTTGTGAAGGGGGACGCTGCCCAGCGCTGACCCTGCCCGCCAGGGCCGCAAACGGGTGCCCTCGGGGGTGGCTGGCCATTCAGGGCTGGGGGGTCTCCGTATCCCATTCCCCCTCCTGAATGAAGGATCCACACCCCTCCTCCTCTCTCTTCCCCAGATGTGACTTTTCCTTTCTGTCTTTGCCACTGTTTCTGCCCAGATTCCCCGATTCAAATTACTAGGAAGGAGATCGCAACCTCTGTAAGGTGTGAGCCGTTTGGCAGCGAAGCGGATAACCTGGGGAGGTGGGCTCGCCTTCTTGGGGGCTTTTTTGGCAGAGGTTGCCAAGGATTTTTGAGCTGCGGTTGCCGCATCGCAGAGGGTGGTCTAGCGGCCCTCGGGGGTCCCCTATGATTCTGTGGCTCAGCTTGTTTGGACTAGGCAGGGACCCAAGGCCACGGATGACGCTGCAGCGACCAAGAGGGGAAAACAGCCACGTTTGCACTAATGACCTGCACAGTTTGCCTGGGACGGTGACAGCGATTCCTTGGTGGCTTGGGCCCCCAAACACCATCTCTGGTTGCTGGGACCTCATTTCCCCCTCTTCTTTTAGAGAAAAGCCTTTTGGGGGGCTTCCAAGCCACCGCTCGGCTCAAGCTCGTGAGAACCTGATGGACCTCAGAAACGTATTGTCTGAAAGGACATCCCCCAGGAGACAATGGCAAGGCAGACGGACACAGAGATCTGTGGGGTTCATCCAGCCCCCCTGCAAAAACTTTCCTCTTGGGAGCCCACAGCCACACAGAGAGCTGCGACTCGGCAGGGACGTTCTATGCACTGAGATGACCCCCCCACCCCTTGCAACTCCTCCGTGACAATTTGGGACCTGGCAGCTGTCAACAGAGAAGCTTCCTTTGCAGTCCTCCCTTCCTCTCCTCTGGGCTTTTGCGCCTGCTTCTCAGGGCTTTGGGGGGGGCGCTGATCTCCCCGTCTCCATCTCCCCACCTGCCTTTTTCCAAATCGAGCCCCAGCTGGCGGCTGCACCAATTGCACCTGAAGTACCTATTTGCCTTAAGGATCCTGCGGTGAAATGCGGGACACCACCTGTTTACAGAGCCCGGCACTTGGGGTTTTGTGCGTGTGCCTGTTTTAATTTCCTAAGGGGCTTCCTGGAGCCCAGCCTTTGCAAACCTGGCGCCCTCCTGCGGCTTCGGACTACAACTCCCATCAGCCCCAGCCAGTCCATGAATTACTGCCATGCCCTCTGTGTGGGGCTTCCCCTGCTCCTGATCTGGGAGCCGCAGTCAGTGCAGAATGCTGCAGCACGATTGCTGACGGGAGTGAGACCCTGCCAGCGTAGAACCCCTGGTGCTCAGAGATCTACACCCGCTGCCAATCTGCTACTGAGCCAAGTTCAAGGTGTTACTATTAGAATATAAAGCCCTTAATAACTTGGCACCTGTTTACCTGCAAGATCGCATGACCACAACCTCTTTGATCAGCAGAACTGGCACGGTTACAGGTGCCACAGCAACCTGTTCCGCATTGGTGAGAACTCAAATCTCTCAGTGTGGCAGCACCTACACTTTGGAAATCCCTGTCTCTAGACATCAGGCAGCTGCTTTTGCTGTGCTCTTCTCGGTGCCTGCTAGAGACATTTCTTCTGTTCAGACAATCCTGCCCGGATCTTTAGAAAGTCCACTTTGAGTTTTAAAATCTGTTTTTAGTCTTATTGCTCTTTTAACTTTTCAAAAGCTTTCAGATCGTTGCAGTGAGGGCTGGGCGATATGTGTTTTTCAACATCACGATATATCACCAGCTAAACATCGCGATATACATATATCACAATGTCTGAAATAAGGATAGGGCTATGGAGAGGCTCGCCGATCGGAAGGTCGTCAGTTCAAATCCCTGCGACAGGGTGAGCTCCCGTTGCTCAGTCCCAGCTCCTGCCAACCTAGCAGTTCAAAAACACACCAGTGCAAGTAGATAAATAGGTACCGCTCTGTCGGGAAGGTAAACGGCGTTTCCGTGCGCTGCTCTGGTTCGCCAGAAGTGGCTTAGTCATCCTGGCCACATGTCCTGGAAGCTGTCTGTGGTCAAACTCCGGCTCCCTTGGCTTATAGAGCAAGATGAGCGCTGCAACCCCAGAGTCGGTCATGACTGGACCTAATGGTCAGGGGTACCTTTACCTTTACTTTTATATATATATTCACAATATACTGATTGCTGCAACCTCAGAGTCAGTCATGACTGGACCTAATGGTCAGGGGTACCTTTACCTTTACTTTTATATATATATTCACAATATACTGATTTTCACGATACAGACTTAAAACAGCTTTTGGAAGTTATATCAATATATCGCCTAGCCCTCGTTGCAGTTAATTTTCCTGCTGCATAATTTTATTATTTGGATTTTTTTTTGTAAACTGATTTGAGGTTCTTGGTTTTTTCCTCTCCCTTTTTTTTACAATCCAGCAATGCGTAAATTTTACGAAATAATAAAATCAATAAAAATGATTTTGGAGGGGCACCAGGCTTGCAAAAGGCTTGCAGAGACTTCCCATTCAACTAGGCAGTTCCTCTCCCCAAGATGCACTGTTCACAGCCCCAGAGGCTCCGGTCAAACTGACTGTCTGTGGTGTGTGTGTCGTCCCCCCCCCATGCCCCCCTGCACTTCCTTCTGAAAAACAGGAACTCCTGCCTTCCCAGCCTGCTAGAAGTGGACTCTCTCTCCTTTCATATTTCTGCAGTCAGTAGCCAGGGGCGCTGTGTGTGTGAACACTTAACAGTAAAAAGACAGACTAGGAAGAATGCTGTGATAACCACACCTCTGCAGTTCCCCACCTGCTTGTTCCAGCTACGTGACTCCGACTGAGAAGCCCCCGCTGGCTTGTGCATTGCCCACCCATTGCTCAGCTTCGCTGCACAGTCAGAGGACCTTGAACGGCGCTCCATGAACCACCGCCAGCAGCAGCAGCAATTGACTTTCGTTCAGGTGGTCTGTGGCAGGTCTGCAAAACTGCGATTAAAAATCAAGTAGTGCAAGGCCAGTCACTACAACAGGAAGGGGGGGAAATAATTAAGTGAGCCCTGGTGTATGTGTGTGTGGTGGGGACTAGAAACTTGCTGGAACGGTTTTGAACTGGAGAATTGCTCCGGTGAGTTTTCTGGCGCCGTGGAGAGCCCAGCCACAGCCCCTCGTGCTTCCATTTTTGCTTTCTTAATTGCCTCCGGTGGAAAGAAGAACCTTTGGCGTCGTCACGGCTCCTTGCGCAACATGCCAGTGAAGCTTCCTGCCTCCTCTGAATCGGACTCACAAGCTGCAGCCCGCCGGCAACGCGGGAAGGATGTTGGCATGACCTGACCCAAGAGCTCCTCCTCGCCTCGTCTCCCTTCAGCAAGGGGAGGAAGGAGGCTTCCCATTCCGGACCTTCTTTCCTCCTTTAAAATCACGTTGTGCAAAAGGACCCGGAGTGTTTTCTCTTGTCGGCCTCAGATAAATAAAGATGCAGCTCCAACCCCAACCCCCCACATCCTCTCTATTCTTGGACCTCTTTTAAAACCGCCCAGGTCGGTGCCCATCGCTGCTTCCTGCAGGAAGGAACGAGGGACATAGTTTAACTGCAGGAGGAAGGCCTTTTTAAAGTCCCAAATCCTTCTGCTTCGTGGGATGTCCAAGAGTTCTTGTGTTACGAGGGAGGAAAAGTTCCTCCGTCCACTTTCTCCAGGCCATGCAGGAAGTGGGGTGGTGGTGGGGTGTGTGTGGTTCCAGCTTGCCAAAGGCGAGAATTGAGTAGGGGGGGGTGCTCTCAGCCTCTGGAGACCCCACAGGCAGCATGTGGCCCAGAGACTTGGCCTTCCAAGTCGAAAGTAGCCTGGCTGCAGGTGGACCGGGGCTCTGCGTCGGTGCAAGAGGCTTCTTAAGGGCTGTGGACTCTGCCGTGTCCGCGCAGAGAGGGAACTGCTGAGGGAGGTGAAGCGGGAGCTGAGGCTGCATTCTCAGTTCCCCTCAGCTAAAAATGCAAGCGAGAGGGAGGGCCTGGCTGGCGCCAAATGGATCAGGCTGGGCCAGAGGCCGCAGCAATAACCCGGAGGTCACAGGAAGCCCTTGCCGCTCTCAGAGCACAGCTGGAGCCCTTCGCGCCTCTTCTAAGAAGTGGATCAGACCAATGACCCACCTAGTCCAGCATCTTAATTTTGCAGTGGAAGCCGAGCTAATGTGGCTAGTCGCCATTGATAGCTCTTTCCATGAATTTGTACAATCCCCTTTTAAAGCCGTCCAAATTAGTGGCCATCGCGTCCTCCTGCAGGACTCCCTTTTATCCTGGTTTTCTCAAGGTTCGGCTTCACTCGACGCCCGCAAGTTCTCTGGGTTGCCGGAAGAAGGAGCGGTGCTTGGAAGCGGCTGCCTTCAATGGAGCTGAGTGTGTGTTTTTGGGGGGGGGTCCCCCTCTTCCTGGCCGCCACCATTCGCTCCTCATCCCAGAGGCTCAGCTCCCATCTCCCGGAGACCTTCTGCACCCAAAGCAGGCACTCTGCTCCTAAGGCAGCCTCACCCAGCTGAGTGCTGCCCATGACTACACCTCTTACCAGCCAGCGAGGCTGTATTAGTGTGCCACTCACATTTCACAAGGCCGCAGAAAGAGCTTGTCACGTGGGGGGGGGGACCTCTAGGCAAAGCTAGTGGAAGACAGCATCCTGGCTCCTGCGCAGGCCAAAGAGGCAGTCTGGTCCTCTGATGGCTACAGCTGGAGCCAACCCTGCAGTGATGGCCTCCTGCCCAGCAACCTCCAACCCTGCGGGATGTTTCAACAGAGCTTTAGGCCTGCTAACCAGGTGCCCTCCTGATGTTTCAGACCATCAGCTCGAGTCTCACGTGGCTGCGTTGTCTGAGTTTGATGGAACTCAAATGGAAACCATGGGGTGGCCACACCCAGCAGGTTCTTTAGCTGGGACGCGTGCCTTGGAGGGGGCTGGGCTAGATGACCCTCAGGGTCCCTGCCAACTCTGCAAATCAGTGATCCTGTGGCCACCCAGCTCTTGGCTTTTCCATGGTCTCCAACTGAATCAGTGGCTCCCAAACTTTTTAGAGTCATCCCCAGCACTCCCTATACTCTGAAATGCATTGGGCAGAACAGCAGTTTGAACGACCCACTGGTGAATATAATTACTCAACATCATTCAGAACAGTTAACACTGGATTGCACATTTGTTCAAAATCAAATTAGAACTATTTGGTTGAATTAAAGAACAGAATGGTGGAGTTGGGAGCACAAGGGTCATCCAGTCCGATGCAGGATCTAGTATGATAGCCAGCGCCGCCCCCCCCCCCCCGCTGATCCCACTTTCCCTTAGTGCCCCCTAGGAAAACCTGTTGGTGGGTCAGTGGCCAAAGTGTTGGTGCTGACCTTTAAAGCCCTAAACGGCTTCGGTCCTGTATACCTAAAGGAGCGTCTCTCCCCCCCCCCATCATCCAGACCGGACACCGAGGTCCAGCTCCGAGGGCCTTCTGGCGGTTCCCTCATTGCGAGAAGCAAAGTTAGAGGGACCAGACAGAGGACCTTCTCGGTAGTGGCACCCGCCCTGTGGAACGCCCTCCCATCAGATATCAAGGAAATAAACAACTATCTTATCTTTAAAAGACATCTGAAGGCAGCCCTGTTTAGGGAAGTTCTTAATATTTCAACGCTGTATTGTTTCTAACACTTGATTGGGAGCCACCCAGAGTGGCTGGGGAAACTCAGCCAGATGGGCGGGGTATAAATAATAAATTATTATTATTTATTAGCCATCGTCTTGGGCTGTTTGGCTTCCAACCTCCATGGGGAAGCTAATGCAGCCTTTGTCTGGTTTGGTCTGGGTCCTGCCAGCAGCACCAGCAGCAGCCAGTCTTTTCTCCTCCTGCCACAGAAAGGCCATTGTTCCTCTTCCTGGCCTGGATTTCACTAACAAATTGCTGTCGGGAATGGTGAGGCCCCAGAGGAGAGGGGTGTGGACTGGGCAGAGGGCTGACCCCGGGATCAGGAGCCAGCTGCACCTGCGCTCCTAAGGACAGAGAGCCCTGCTGGATGAAGCCACAGGGCCCATCTGGTCCAGTGTCCTGTTCTCACAGTGGCCAACCAGGTGCCCTTAATGGGAAACCAGCAGGCGGGATCTAGGCACCAGAGCCCACCCTCCTGCCGTTTCTGGTAGTCACAAGCAGAGCATCCTGGCTGGCAGCCTTTGATAGCCATCTGAATTTGCCCTATCCTCTTTTAAAGGCATCTAGGCTGGAGGCCATCGTTGCCTCCATAGTTTTAACTAGGTGCTGCATTGCCCTGTCTTCTGGGGCGCTGGACCCTCATGCAAAATGCTGCTTGAGGAGCAGCCCTGACGGACCCATCCTTTCTGCCCACTGCTGCTCGGCTGTTGACCTTCGGGTCTGGAATGCGGCTGGCCCAAGCTCGAGGCTCTGCTGCTGGACACATCACACAGAGAGGCATCCATCCCTCTCGCTTCCCTCCCCGCTGCCCTCCTCCTCTGAGGCTCCAGGACATTCCTGGGAAGGCATGACATCACTGGCTTGCTATTGAACCCGAGCTGATCTGTGGCCTTTGGGAGAGGCTGTCCAGAGATGGAGCCAGAAAAGAAGTGCTTTCATGGCTGCAGCAACAGGGCAGGGGGGTGATGTCTTCTGGAATCCACAAGACAAGTGGCGGCAGCTCAAATGATTTCATAGAACCTGCAGAGTAGGAATGGGATCTGTACGGTCATCTAGTCCAACCCCCTGCAAGGCAGGAGTCATTAATTGCATCTACATCCCACCTTCTGCTCCAAGGAGCTCAAGGTGGCGTACACTGTGCTACCTAATAATAATTTATTATTTATGCCCTGCCCATCTGGCTGCGCTTCCCCAGTCACTCTGGGCGGCTTCCAACAAAATATTAAAATACCATAATACATAAAACATTAAAAACTTCCCTGAACAGGGCTGCTTTTAGAGGTCTTCTAAAAGTCTGGTAGTTGTTGTTCTCTTTGACATCTGGTGGGAGGGCGTTCCACAGGGCTGGTGCCACTACCGAGAAGGCCCTCTGCCTGGTTCCCTGTACCCTCACTTCTTGCAAGGAGGGAACCGCCAGAAGGCCCTCGGTGCTGGACCTCAGTGTCCAGGCAGAACAATGGGGGTGGAGACGCTCCTTCAGGGATACTGGGCCGAGGCCGTTTGGGGCTTTCAAGGTCAGCACCAACACTTTGAATTGTGCTCGGAAACGTACTGGGAGCCAATGCAGGTCTCTCAGGACCAGTGTTATGTGGTCTTGGCAGCCGCTCCCAGTCCCCAGTCTGGCTGCCGCATTCTGGATTAGTTGTAGTTTCCGGGTCACCTTCAAAGGTAGCCCCACGTAGAGCGCGTTGCAGTAGTCCAATGCAATCCCCACAACAAGATTGTGAGGCAGGTTAGGCTGAGAGGCAGGGACTTGAGACCTGATCTCTCCCAGGTCCTAGTTCAGACACTTTAACCCCTTATGTCACAATGGTTTTCATTTTGGGAATATCTTGGCCCTTGGACCAATACCATCAGCTTCAGCCAGCCACAGCCTGCCAGTCGTATGCATGGCCTCACCCCTTGTGTCGGAGAGGCGATGTTTTACAGCCTTTGCACACAGACAAGGTGCTAGTCCCTGTGGGCTGAGGGAGGAGCTTCGAAAACTCTGGAGGCAGAGGAGGTGTGCAGTAAATCAATGGCTCAGGGTACTTGAGTGTAGTTCACGGCTCCTTGATAGGAGAGTGGCCACAAGCCAGCGGCAGAGCAACTGCTTGGCATGCAGAAGGTCCCAGTTTCATCCTAGGCACCTCCCCTTTGGAAGACCTTGGGAAGCAAGGCAGGTAAAGATCCCCCCCTTCCTCCTGTCAGCTAGGGTAGATATCAGGCAGAGGGAGCAACTGGTCCACTGAAGCTGCTGCTACAACTGGGGAAAAAATACTCAGTGCTTTATTTCATCTTGGGAGGGGGAGGGAGCCAATGAAAATAGACACCTGGCAGTACAATTTTTTACACACACACACACACACACACACACACACACACACACACACCTTGCCACAGGGACAGCAAAGAGGCCCACACACCAGGGATGTGGGAGGACAAGCAGCACAAGAGAAAACCCGGCCTGATGCCAGAATGTCCCTGCCTTGGAACAGCAACCCTGGGCTAGTAGCTGCATCACAAGCCTCCTTTCCGGAGAGCTTCTTGGCCAGCCTGACTCCACCAGCTGACCCGAGACTTCCTACCTGGGGAACCAAGTTACCTGCATTCAGTCTTTACTGGTTGCTCTGAGCCCTTACTTCCTAGGAGCTTTTCCCTCAGCCATTCCCCTTCTTCCCTATCGACCCCAAGCCCCTGGGCTGCTGGTCTCTGCTCCAGCCTACCCCCCTGCTTGACCCAGGCTGGACCACTGGATCAGCCTCAAACTACCCTTTCCTTAGGATTCCTCCCTTGAGGCTTCTGGGACCTCACTGAGGTGACCTGATCCTGCCACTTCTTCCTGATCTCTCTTGCTAGGAGTGAGGCCTGGTGGGCTCTGAGCAGGGCAGAGAAGTGAGCCTCTCTGCATCTCTATGCTTGGAGAAGCATCTGTGTCCCTCTGCCTGGATCAAGAGCTGATGCCCAGGACCCAAGGTGTGCAAGGGTTAAGTTGAGGACCTCTGCTTGGTCCTCCAAGTGCTCCTGCACCCTCCCAGCTCAAGGTACCTATTTCTGCTTTACGTTTCCCAGCCCGATCCTTCCCAGCTGAGCCCAACTCTCAGGTGGTTCTTTCACCAATGTAGCTCCTTTCCTGTACCTTCAGAACATCACAGTCAAGAGCAAATGAATCCCACCTATGCTGTCCCCCAACTCCTGCCTACCTGAGGTTTCTAGGAATTTGGGGGAAGGGTCTGTGAATTCTCAAGGACAGAGAAGCTCCAGCAGCAGACAGGCAGAGATGATTAGCTCCCGGGGGCTGCAAGGGTGTGCTGACACCACGCAGAACTTGTTCCAATGTGCAGAATATGCATAACTCGCTTTAGGGAACTTCAGTGCAGAAGCTGGGGAAATGGGGAAGAGAGACTGCCTCACCTCCAGCCCCATTTTATTTCTAAAGTCCAAGCGCTCCCAGGGTTTGGCACTTTGGCCCAGCTCAGTGACAGGCATCTATCATAGAGCTGGACCTCACTGGGCAGCAGGAAAGCCCCACGCGGGAGAAGGAATGAGACGGAAGGAGGCCAGGCTGCCGTTTACAAAGGCAAAGAGAGAAATTCCCCTCTACCCCACTGGGAAAAAGGACCGGCTACAACCACTCTGCGTTCCTGCAAAGGGCCAGGTGGGAAAAGGAGTCGCCTCCTTCAGGCAAGTCCCAGATCCGGGCAAGGAGTCTCTGACTTCAAGAGCCGCTGGACTTGTCACCATCACAACACACAACCTCAGTGGGCTAGTCCAGTTCTGTCCCTGTCCTGGGTTGGCAGCAGAGCACATTCTGAGTTTCGTTTTTACTTTTACAAAGATGTCCCATTGATCAAAAGGCCCGTCAACCAGCCACACCTTCTGCTCTGTTGTCGGACACATGATGGCAGGGTCCCAATTCCTACGAGGCCCACTGGTTCTTTTCAGTCCAGTCGCAGGTGCCCCTTCTGAAATGTCCTGGGGCCTGCCGGAAGGATCTGACGCTGGCAAGCAGGCTGCTCCTCCTCCCCGCAAGAAATCCTCAGCTCAAAGGCAGGCTTTTGCTAGAAGCGTTTGTCTTCTGGCTGGGAACTGACCACCAGCTCCTTGTTGCCAAAGTCCCACCACGCAGTCATGTGGAAGGCCATGTTAGAAAAAACCACCAGGTACTCCAAGAAGGCAAAGATGGTGTAAACTAGGGAAGGAAAGAAAAGAGGGGGAAACAAGGTCAGGAATCTCAGGTGTCTGAAACAGCGCCAAGCACAGCTTATATATTTTGAGTCCATAAGGGCTAGAAACATGGATTTTACCCCAGGATTCCTGGGATGCTCAGTTCCACCCGAGGAACACTTCACATGTTCTGCCAACCCACCTGCCTCTTGTACACAGCTGCCTTTCAGTGTTCTCAAAGGCACCTGCCAGTCACTCACTGGCGAGCATTTCCCATGTGGCTCAGATAATACGGTAAGTGATCCAGTTAGATTGAAATACTTTATTGTCACTTGTACAACTTGTATACAGTGAGATTACATGAGCACCCCCCACTCAGCTCTCTTAGTCTTAATTCCCCTCGTTTACTGACACACATCCACCAAACCCGAAAGTCAGGTGCCCTGTTGTTATCTTTTCATTCAGCAGCCGAACAGGCAACGGACAGAAGCTGTTCTTTACCCTGTTGGTGCGACTAATCATGCTTCTATATCTTCTGCCTGAGGGCAGGAGATCAAGAAAGTGCCGGCCAGGGGGTGAATCATCCCTGAGAATTTTCCTCACTCTCCTGAGGCATCGTTCTTCCACTATTTCATCCAGCAGATTCATGGGACAGCCCATAATATCTTGTGCTATATTCACCACCCTTTGTAGGCACTTCCTATCAGTTGATGTCAAACCAGTGATACAGTATGAAATGACACTTTCTATTGTGGACCGGTAGGAGATCATCAAATGTTGTTTGACATCGTTCTTCCGCAATACTCTGAGGAGATGGAGTCTCTGTTGGGCTTTCTTAACCACCTGGGTTGTATTGATTTTCTAAGTAAGGTCTTCAATGAGATAAACTCCTAGGAATTTAAAGGAAGAGACTCTCTCCACACAGCCCTCCCCGATGTACAGCGGGGCTAGTTTTCCTCTCTTCCTCCGAAAGTCCAACACCAAGTTGTTCCCTAGGCACTATGTAGATATTTTTTGGACCTCTCCTCTATACGCTGATTCGTCTCCACCTGTTATTAAACCCATTATAGTGGTGTCATCTGCAAACTTAATAATTGCAGTAGACGGGTCAGATGATACACAATCGTATGTATACAATGAATACAGGATGGAGTTTTAAAAGGCCGTCTCAGCTCAGGGAAATGCAGGCAGCAAGAGGGAGGCTCTGAGCCATGTCTATAGCAAAAAAGAGTGATGCTTGAGAGAGCCTCTGCCTCCCCACCACATCAAACCAGGCAAAGGAGACATAGAAACACACCCACGTACCTGGTACACCTGCCCACCAGGTGCTGCTGGGTTCAGACTCTCATCCCTAGCTAGAGGCCCTGCTGGCTGCTGGGAGTTAGAGTTCACCAACGTGTGGAGAGTGCCCAAGTTGGCTATCCCTGGCCTAGCGGTTAATGGGGCCCATGAGCCACTAAGCGCCTTGTGCCCATCTTTCCTCTGCTACAAACAGGAGGCATGGGGCAAGCGCCAACACCAGAGCCACAGGAATCCTCTCCTACAAAGGAAAGTCACAAAGCAGGTGCGCAGGTGCTCTGGCACCGCAGACCAAGCGCCACCACCGAGCAGCCTCCGTTTCTAGCCACGAGCAAGAGGCTGAATCCCCAAAGGGGACTTACCTCCGGGCTCGCAGTACCAGTTGTGGCGGAAGTAGAAGTACACGGCTACTGAGAACGTGACCAGGTTGAAGAGGAACAGCCACCACTTCCACTTGTAGGACTTGCGCTCCTGCAAGAGAGGGGGAGAGGGGCGAGGTCACTCCTGCCAGGAAGAAGGCTGGCAGCCCCACATTTGCATACGCATGCCAACTTAGCATAAGTGGATGCAGGACTTGAGGCCCTGCTCCTCAGGGCTTAGCACGTGGCCTCTTTGCAGCAACAGGAACACGAGGAGACCTGTGTAGGGAGGCCACCTGTGGCCACCTCACCTCAGAAAGGATACCGTTGAGCTAGAAAAGGTGACCCAAATAATCAAGGGATTTTGGAGCACCTCCCCTGTGAGGCCAAGTGATGACATTCAGAGCTTTTTAGCTGAGAAAATCAATGAGTAAGAGGAGACACAGTGGTGCCTCGCAAGACGAAATTAATTCGTTCCGCGAGTTTTTTCGTCTTGCGATTTTTTCGTCTTGCGAAGCACGGTGTCGGAAAAGTTTTGGAAAAGCTTCAAAAATCACCAAAGTCTTCAAAAACCTCAAAAAAGGCTACCACACCGCGTTCTATGAGTTGCTCCTCGAAGTCAAGTCGCAACTGTATTAACGGTTTTAAGAAAAAGGAAACAAACTTGCAAGACGTTTCCGTCTTGCGAAGCAAGCCCATAGGGAAAATCGTCTTGCGAAGCAACTCAAAAAACCAAAAACCCTTTCGTCTTGCGAGTTTTCCGTCTTGCGAGGCATTCGTCTTGCAAGGTACCACTGTACGAGAGTGGGGTTTACGTTTATGCATGGTGTGAAGACTCCCCCCCCCCCCTGTCTCATAACCCTAGACCTCTGGGATGTCTGATGAAGCTGAGATTTGGAAGATTCAAGATAAGCGAAAGGAAGGGACCGCTTCACACAGCTCAGTTAAAATATGGAATTTGCTGCTACAAGATGTAGTCATGGCAAGCAACTTGAGTGGGGGCTTGGACAAATTCACGAAGGAGAAGGCTATATAAAAATGGCTGCTAGGCATAATGGCGGTGTGATCCCTCCGCTATCAGAGGCAGGATGCTTCTGAATACCAGTTGCTGGAAACAGCAGGAGGGGAGAGGGCTCTTGTAGCTCCTGCTTGCAAGCTTCCCATTGGCCATTTGGTTGTGCAACTCACAACAGATCCACACTCTGAAGCCCAGGGCTCCTACGGAAGGGCCACAGCTTGCCTATCACAGCTTCCTCCCATCATTCCTGACGACTGGCCCTGCAAGCTAGGGATGGTGGGGGTTGTAGTCCAAAAACAGCTGGGGACCACAGTTTGGGAAACGCTGCCTTAAGGGATAAAGAGCAAAAGGGCAGGGATGCTCATTGCCAAGGGTGTCTCCACGGCGGACAGGCTCAACACAGCGCCCCGACGCAGAGCAGCCCTAGTTGCAACTGCTGATATAGGGGAAGTACAAATCCTCGCTTGGCTTGGCTTCCTGACTCAGCTTATTTGAGGGAAATGGGATGCAACAGCAGCAGAAGCATTAAGGAGGGTGGGAGGGAGGGAGAACTTAAGAGCTGGTTGCGGCATGATGCCTGGGCCCACACCCACACCCCAGGGAGCAAGAGGGCCTCGCTTCTGCCACGAGAAAAGTCTGACAGAGGGGCCAGGCCATAGAGATGAATGGGGTGTGGGAAAAAGGTCCCCCACTTCTGGTTACTGCCCATCCATGCAGGCAAGGGGAACCCCCCACCACCCCAGGGCGTAGAAACTCCAAACCACAAATGTTTAGGTTGCAGCTTTCGTTTCCATTTGGTTTCGTCAAAGAGAAGCACAAAGATTTCAGGGGGAAAGTGGGAGGTTTAGAAAGAAGGGGGGGGGACAAGTTTTGAGATGGGGCAAGTGGGAGGGGAGAAGTATATAAAGGAGAATAATATTGTTAAGCTGTATTGTGTTTAAGATATTTGGGAAAAATTAGTGTGGGGGGGGGAAGTGGGAGGGGAGAAGAAAGAGCAACAGGATGGGAGGAGCCACGGCAAAGCATCTGGTCAAGGCGGAGAACAGGGTGGCAATTCTAGAAAACTGGGTTCAACATGAATTCGGGCAATGGCAGTAACCTCTCCGGTGCTTTCTAGTGATATACGGAAAGCCATTTCAGTCTTCTAGTCCTCATTGTTACAGCTCCCACATTTCTGCGTCTGAGTGGCTCTCCTGCTCCTCGTTTCTCTCTTTGCCTCTTCTGCTCCTTTAGCATAGAGCCAGTGTGGTGTAGAGGTTGGAGGGTCAGCCTAGGACCCGAGAGACCAGGGTTCAAATTCCCACTTGGCCATGAAGCTCCCTGGGTGCCCCTGGTGGCCAGTCACTCTCCCTCTCAAGTCTCACCTACCTCACAGGGTTGCTGTGGGAATGAAACGAGCAGGGAGAACCATGTACGCCCCTTGCGCTCCCTGGAGACAGGGACAGGGGGGACAGAAATGCAAGCAATAAATAAAACAAGTAGCAGACCAGCGCAGGGGCTGAACCGTGTTAACGTGTCCCCTACTAGCACGCTGTTGGGGCCCAAGACCTGCTCCGTGGCAGGCGTGAGAAACCCAGCCCTTCTGCACTAGAGCGGAAGTGCCAAGGCAGACGGGAGGGAGAGAAGCCAGGAGCAGGAACCGCAAGCAGAAATCTCTTATGTAAAAATTCACACAGGAAATGGCAGGTGGCAATTCATTGTGTTTGCGCAGGCGGTGTCAAAATTCCTCTTTAACCTCCCTTAGTCAGTGGCTCCCAAGTACACACACACACACACACACACACACACACACACACCCATCCCCTTGCTTGTCCTCAGCATGCAGCCCCTCCTCTCTCTTGGCCCTGTGCCTATTGCCCCCTCCACACACAGAGACACATGTCCATCACCCTGCTCCTTGTCATTCCTTGCTTCAGTTCCCTGTGCCTTCAGCTCTCCAACCCTCCCTCCCCAACAGCTTGCAATTCTTGCCCTGCAGTCCTGTGCAAGAGCTTCTACGATGCAGGCCCAACTGGGCCCATCTAGTCCAACAAAACGTCCCAGCGGGGAGCCTCGAAAGAGGTCCTGGGTGCGTCAGCAACTCTCCGCCCTTGCCCTTCCCAGCAACTGGTATTCAGAGGCATATGGCCTCTAGCGGTGCAGAGAGAGCACAGCCATCCTCAGGATTAGCCACTGTCCTGACAACCTTCTCTTCCTCCATGAGTGTATCTCATGCCTTTTGAAAGCCAGCCACGTTGCTGGCCATCAGCACTTTTCACAGGAGCCAACGCCATAGTCTTTGTTTTATGAAGAAGTGCTTTCTTTTGCCTGCTCTTTAATATCCCACCAATCAGCTTCATCTGATCAAACCTGGGTTCTAGTACTTGGAGGAAGTAAGGTGCACAACTTGACACACTTAGGCCTAGGACCCTCGTACCTACAGGACTGCCTCTCCTGGTATGCCCCGCGGAGGACTTTAAGGGCCACAAGTGATACTTTGGAGGTCCCAGGTCACAAGTTGGTTAGATTGGCCTCAACTAGGGCCAGGGCCTTTTCAGTACTGGCCCCAACTTGGTGGAACGCTCTGTCACAAGAGACTAGGGCCCTGCGGGACTTGACATCTTTCCACAGGGTCTGCAAAACAGAGCTATTCTCCCTGGCCTTTGGTTTGGACTCAGTCTGACCCTTATGTTTTCCCTCCCCTTAAGGTTTTGATCCATGGGCTATTTTTAAAATGAGGCTGCATTTTAAATTGCATTTTAACCTGTATTTTAAATTGCCCCCCCCAATTATGATTTTACTGTAATTTTACTTGGTGTTAGCCGCCTTGAGCCCAGCTCTGGCCTGGGAGGGCGGGGTACAAATAAAATTTATTATTACTGTACTGTTGCATCTTACTCTCAGAGAAGTGCCAAATGCTACAAGCTTTTTTGGTAAGGGAACTGATCCGTCTCCTTGATCATTTTGGGTGCCTTTTTCTGAACCTCTCCCAACTCTACAACAGCCTTTTTGAGGTTAGATGACCAGAATTCTACACAGTATTCCAAACTCAGTTGCGCCGTAGAATTGTGTAAGAGCATTACGATACTGGCAGCTTTGTTTTCAATTCCTTTTAAATGATGCTGAGCATGGAATTTGCCTTTTCGCACCTGCTGCGCGCTGGTTCAACATCTTCACTGACCCACCCGCTACAGCCCCAAGGTCTCATTCCTGGTGAGCCGCTTCTAGCTCAGACCCGCCAGTGTATATTTCCTATCCAAACTGACCTTTTACCTCCCTCACAGAAGCTGTAGCACTTGCCAGTGTTGGTACACACAAGCAAGTGCAAACAGTCTTCTCCATACTATTGCTGTCCCTTGAGACCAGAGGTCAGGGCTTCTGGGGCAGCAGGTGTGGCTTCCAGGGAAGACTTGAGCCCCCTCACCTCTCCCTTTGCAACATAAGTGCAACTTAAAGTGCCAAGGAATTATTGAGAAGACAAAGCTCCAAATGGTGATCAGTAAAATACTGGGCAAAGCTGGACAGCCCTCTGGTGGCAGAACCTTATACCCAACTCCAGCAGTTGCTGCTCTCCCCAGTGCCCATAATTTAGATTGTGGGTTTGGGGGGGTGGTCTGGATGATACCCTGAGTCCCTTCCAGTTCTTGGGGTCTGGTAACCAGGGAGGAGTAGAATCAAATAGGAGTTTGATGAAGTAGTCAGATGAGTTTCTTTGGAAGACAACGACCTTAGTTGGTCACTTCAGTGTCCTCACCAGCATCCCCAGAGAATGAGCTAGCTTGCAAGAGTCCTGACTAATGGGCGGCCTTTCCTTCAACCCACACGTAGCTGATAGCCAGAGAGAACTGTATGTGAGCTGAGCTGGGAAACAAGGCTGGAAGCTGGAGACCCAGAGACCTGCTTGCTCCGTGCTGGATCCAAAGCTGTGACCGATGGAGAAGCAAGACCTGTTGGGGTGTTGATGCTGTGAGCCATGCTCAGGTTGTATATACGTGTAAACAAAACCAAATACAGTGGTACCTTGGTTGTCAAACTTAATCTGTTTGACTCCCAAGGCGGTTCGAAAACCAAGGCACTGCTTCCGATTGGCTGCAGGAGCTTCCTGCACTCAAGTGGAAGCTGCGTCAGACGTTCGGCTTCCAAAAAACATTTGCAAACCGGAACACTCGCTTTTGGGTTTGTGCGTTCGGGAGCCAAAACGTACCAAGGCGTTCGACAAGCAAGGTACGACTATATCCTAAAGACACCACAGCGCTGACCTTAATTCCAAGGAAACTGAACCCTGGGTAAGCGTCTGGAACCCCTGGAGTCTCCCACCATTCAGAGATTGGGGTGGTGCGTAACGATATACAACTCAAGAGACGGAAAGGTTACTGCAGGGGTCAGCAAACTTTTTCAGCAGGGGGCCGGTCCGCTGTCCCTCAGACCTTGCGGGGAGCCGGACTATATTTTTTTGGGGGAAATGAACGAATTCCTATGCCCCACAAATAACCCAGAGATGCATTTTAAATAAAAGGACACATTCTACTCATGTAAAAACACGTTGGTTCCTGGACCATCCGCGGGCCGGATTTAGATGTCTATTGGGCCTGATCTGGCCCCAGGGCCTTAGTTTGCCTACCCATGGGTTAAAGCCACCCAACAACCATTTTGATGAGATCAGAGTCTTTATGTCTTACTTGTTTTAATTGTACCAAGCTGTATGTAACCTGCCCAGGCACCACATGTGGATGGGGTACTCTAAATCAACACATTTGGAAGCACATCTATGGAAACATGGTGTTCGAAGCAGCGCTATTGAGACCCAGGCAAGCCTGCCCTCAGCTCCAAACCCTCCTCACATCCGCCAATGAAAGAAAGAGAGGGGACTGTACCTCGGGACTTACTGCGTGCTTCTTAGTCATTCGCCACAAAACGCAAGTCAGGAACATGTGGCTGAGGGCCGAAGCTATGAAGAGGATGAAGGCGTTCTCGTGGATCACTGCAGCAAAGAAAGGACATGCAATGCTAACAGTGAGCAAGAAGCAGAAGCGGCAGCCACCACAAAAGTTCAACTAGCCACGGGGGACATGCAAACTCCTAGGCACAGCATACAAAGTAACAGCTAATTGTGCATCTGAACCTTGCGTCGAGAGAGAAAGCGTTCTCCTGCCTAAGCCATATGGAAGCCAGAGGGAGCTGCAGCTGTTTTCTGCTGCTCCAGTGGGGAGGACCCGAACCGATGGATTCAAATGCCAAGAAAGGAGAGTCTGACTAATCCTTAGGAAGAATTTTTGATGGTAAGAGCTGCACAACAGTGGAACAGACTCCTTTGGAAGGTGGTGGAGTCTCCCTTCACTGTATATTTTAAAGCAGAGGTTAGATGGCCATCTGTGTCAGGTGTGCGTGCAGGAGCCAAGCCCTGTGACCAACAGGACTCTGCAGGACTGGGGCCTTCCTAAGTTTGTTCTGAAGATGCAACGTGCGGCCTCACAGGTGAGGCCAATTGGTAACTCACAGCACCTGGTGGCAAGAGCCGGGAAGGGATATAAGGTCAGCATTTTCCCTTCAGCTCTTTGCCACAGCAACACATTCCTTGCCTTGCTGTGTTTGACTCCTTGCTTCTTGATCCTCGGACCCCTGACTTCGTGACTCCTTGCTTCTTGAGCCTCAGACCCTTGACTTTGTGACTTTCTTCCTGACCCTCGGCTTCTTGACTCCTGGCTCTCTGACCCTCGCACTCTTGGCTTTCTGACTCCTGGCTTCTGGACTCCTGTTGGAATGGCCCATCTGTCAGCGATTCAATAGCTGAGATTTCTGCATTGCAGGGGGTCGACTAGATAACGATTCTATGATGCTTTGAGAGAGTCTGGAACAGAAATCTGGGGCAGGAGGCAGAGCAGGGTAGGAGAGAGAGGACCAGAGGAGACACGGTGGCTCCAGCCAACCAGCCCCCTCCCAACCAGCTCGTAAGGGCAGTGCTGTTGGTGCCCCAGTGACAACCCCAAGCTCTCAGGCCCACAAACCAGAAGGCATCCACTGCCAGTAAGCCAGGCTGCTGCTGCACCAGGCGCTGATACTTACGGTAGTTCTCCGAGGAGGAGACGTAGGTCAGCAGCAGGAGGGCCGTGTTCTCTAGCAGGTTGAGGCCAAAGGCCGCATTGCACAGGCGGAGGTACCGGGGGTGTGTGCAGTGGCAGCCGCGGTAGTGGCTCCAGTAGACAAAGGCCACGAGGAAGCGGGGCCCAGAGTGCAGCCCGATGCAGAAACGCCACATGTAGCGCTCGGGGGTCTCCCCACCAATGGCAGAGCTGATGGAGGGGAGGTAGTTGGGGACCTGCAGGGGAAAACAGAAGTCAGTGGAATTGCAAATCTGACAGTTCTCCTTCCTGTGACCTGCCACCATGGAGAAGCACCGTTTCTCCTTGCAGGCAGGCACCCGCTGCTCACAAGCCTCCTCTTCTCACGATGCTGGACTTTGGGGCTTATTTGCTGTTGGCCTTGCGGCGTCACTCTCCTACCTACAGGCGCTTCAGCCTCTGACCCCCACAGCGATGTTCCTCTTGCCATAGCTGGCAAGGGGAACGGGAGCACCCCAAACCCTTCACTCACAAAGGCTGAATATAGGTTTCCGGTCCCTGCTGGCTGAATTCTGTTAGCTCTGACCAGACAGCCTCCGCAGAGATCCCTTTGTCTTATGCACTCTTATTGTACTCTCCCATGCAAACCTGCCTGGGTAGGACCTAATCTCCATCCTGCCACCATCTCAGGCACTCATGGTGTTGATGTGCGGGAGGGTCTTTTTGGTGGCTGCCCCCAGGCAATTTTGGATCTCCCTCCCTAGAGAAGCTAGACTGGCTCCTTCTTGCTGCCCTTCCCCTGGGAGGTGAAGACTGTTTTATTGCAACAGGACTTTGGCACTAACTCTGACTGCTCTTCTTAAGCAAATGACCCAGAACCCTTGAAACCAAATCCCCGTAAAAGATGTGACTGTACTATAACAATGGTGATAAATTCCAACATAGGGCAATCTTTAAATGCACGCACAAACACTTAAGGAAGACTTACATCGCAGTGGGTGGCAGTGGCTTCATCAAAGTGAAAGAACAGGGACCAGATGACGCAGAAGAGGAAGCCAAAGAGCGGGCAGCACACGGTCCCGACTGCCAGGGTGGTAAAACGGAGGCGGAAGAGGGTCCCGTCCCGATCCAAAGGGAGCGGCAGCTGGAACATGCTGCCAAACCTATGCGCATGGAAAGACAAGCATTTGTGCTGTGCTTCTTTCAGAAGCAGCAGAGAGTATCCAAGGCTGTGGATAAAGACCTGAAAAGCAGCCAGGATGCATATCTGGTTACTCAGAAATACAAAGAGGGGGCTCACAGGCATCAGGGCTTATTTCCATCGCAAAATCAACAAAGCGCCAGGTCTGGACGGCAGCCACCTGAGATTTCTCAAATGAATTCCAGTACAAAATCACTCATCTTCTAAATGAAAATATGTTACCTTGTCTCTGAGTTCAGCTTCCGTACCTCCAGGTTGGCTTGAAAGCTGCGGCTGGTGCAAAACTAGAATACTGCCACCAGGTCACAATGCTGCTGGAAGAACTGCCAAAGGACAGTTGACTTGCATGCATTTAACTTGCATTATATCAGCTTTAAGCAACTGGTGTCAAGCCAGCTGTGACTGCACAAATTAAATGCATGCAAGGTGGAGAGCTTAAGCGCTATTTTTTCCCTAGTGCAGAAGGAGCCTTTAAGCTGTCTGCCTTGCTTATTAGGAGGCTCTTCCGAGATCTCAGACTGTCCTGCCACCTGGAACTGACCTCCAGGACTTACTGCTGTGCCATGTAAGATGCCCCCTGAGGAGCAAGGCTGGGTAGTGCAAGGCCAGAAGGCTGCCTGGCAGGACTCCCAGGGCAAAGCAGATTGAGAATGTGGAGGACTCTGCCTTCTTCCACCAGGAAAACCCTGTGATCCCCGAATGAAGAACGGCATGGAAATTTAATAAAATAATAAACAAATAGCTTCAAAACTCTCTGCCTTACATGGGGCCAAGGCCTGTCCAACCTAGCTTCTGAAAGGTAGGGGTGGGCATGTGGAGGTGGCTTCCATTCTTCCCCATGGAGAAGAGTCCAGAGTTTGTTCAACGACATACAGGCCTCCTGACACTCCCACCTGTTAACGGAGAAATCTGAGGGCTCCCTTGGACAAAAAACAAGGAAACCAGCCAGGAATACCAGACCAAAACAGCAGCCTGTAGGCTTGGTCTTTATTGAAGACTGTCGCAACAGGACTCCCACCTGCCACAAGGTGGAACAAGATGGAAGCCCCGAACAAAAGAGAACCCAAACTTTTATTAGCTGCTAATCCCCATGTCACCCCCCCCCACTACATCACTCATACATCACGGTTACATCATGATTGGGGAGGTCTGGTGGCAGTGATCTGAGCATCCTGGACCCTGCCCCATGGTTCCCCTTGCCCTCCTCCAAACACCCATCCAGTGTAACAAAAGAGATATTTACATTTCCCTGTTTCCCAGCCAAGTTCATCACACCCTTTTGTCTTCATCTGGGTTTGTTATTTCTGGAATGGCTACCTGTCTGGCACTCAGGTATCAGGATGCCAGGGATTATCCCTCAGGCAGAGGAGCTGCTAAGTAGCTGAGCTCATGTCTATATGAATTTCTGGAGTTTTCCCAGTGAGCCAGTACAGAGATACATTTATCAGTGAATTCTTACATTTGGTATCGTGCAGCAAAGGCCCTTTGAATAGATAGGAAGAAACTGTGATGAAGTGTTTTGTGGGGCCAAGTCATAAAAGTGATTGTGCTGGTTTTGGTAGTGGGCTGCATGTGCATGATATCTGCTGGAGGGGCAACCCCCCCAACCCATACATAAATTCCTGCAACGCCCCCCTGCACTGTCACCTGCTCTGCGAAGTGGATACTGACAATTGTGAGCAACACCTTTGCATCTCCCATGCGGGAGAAAGCCAGCCTCACCTGCTGGGGAAATGGGCACAGCAACTCCTGTTCTTCAGGACTTCTGCTTGAACCACAAAGGCCTAGCCTTCCATCTCAAGACAAGAACTGAGCCTGCACAGTCCCTCCTCCACGTAGGCCCCGTCTGATTTACTGTTCACACAAGAAAAGGCACGAGAAGGAAGTGAGCCAATGTTTTTCGTAACTGGGCAGGTCAGATCTGGCAGCTGAGCTGGTGAATGCTGACCTAGGAAGAAGAATTCTACTCAGCCTGTCACACAGGACCCAGCCACACCCACAGCAGAGCTCACCTGAGAGCAATGTCACCCCTTCTGACTCACAAAGAGCATCTGCTTAAGGCAGGCCTTTTCCTGCTCCAGCTGGACTCGGTTAGTGAAGCCATTGCAGTGACTGCAACAGGAGCTTGATATAAAAAACTGTGGCACTCACAGTTGACGGGTGTGTTACCCTATAGCTGCAGCTGAGAGGTGATGGCAGCAGCCACCACAGTGCCAAAATTCACGGCACAACTTCCGTGCGGGTGAGGCCCACTGGGAGCAGGCAGGGTTACGCCAGCTGCTATATGCAACACACCCATTGCACTCAATTAAAAGGTGTGCTGGAGAGTTTCAAGAACGCTGGAAACCAGACTTGAAATACTGCCCAATGTCACAAAATCCAGCCCAAGCACTTCACGCCCGTGTGCCCCCCCATCTACCCAAGGCTGCCTGAAGCAGAGGACAAATCAGTAATAACCAAGGCAACAAAAATAACTTTATGACCACTGCTCCATAGCTATTGTTGTTATACAATTCCATTCACCATATAGATGGGTTTATGAAGGATTTCTGTATCTTTCTGCTGTGCTGAAGAATTCTACAAAACAGTGGGTATATCCGGAATCACTGTTCACTACGTCTGTTTGCGGACCACTTTGGCTGTGTTGGATGTTATAAAACAAAGCTTTACGGCTTGTTTTCACCAGATAAGAATCTGACCCATTGCTTCTTTCAGAGACTTGCATAGTCTACAAAGACTTTCAGAGACTGTCTGTGGGGCAGTTATAAAAGCAGAGGGCAACGCACATGATGCACAGATCTCTTCTCCAATAGGAGATGAGGGCTCTTGTGCTCAAATACCATGTTTCCCAGAAGGGGCAAGGCTAGAGGAGCAAGCCCTCCACAGATCTGGAGCGGAGTCCCTAAGGCGGTTGGGATGGCGCACTGCATGCCTCCTTCGGGCAACTCCTGCAGCCCAGCTGGTGCCCAACACCTGGCTGTTTTCCTTTGTGGGAGTCTTGTCGTCTGGGCAGCCCAGGACCCCCAGGCATGTGGCCCAGGCTTGAGCCTCGGGGAGGTCTGGAGACTGTGGGGTTTCATAACTCCCAGTGCATCTGTTCGCAGGGACAGGATACTGGGCCAGGTGCCTGGGCGATACAGATGGTTTTCAACATCATGCTCTAACACCAGCTACACATTGCAACAGGTCACGGTGCCTGAAATAAGGATGGAGCTACATGGAGGCATTGGTATCCATTTCGCATAGCACACATCGTGATTTGCAATATATTGCCAGGTCAGAAATTATGAAACGGGGATGCCGATAGGGACCTCGAACTGGTCTGGGGCGACCTATGGCTCTATCGCCCCGGCCCTAGTGGGGCCCGTGGGCCTGATCCAGCAGCCGGGCTCTCCTCGTTTGCCGCCTCCCGGCACATGCCACCCGAGGCAGCTGACGGGAGGGCCGGCCCTGAATCCCCCGCTGCGGGAAGGAGGACACTTTCGGGAAGCCGGCCTTCGGGGTTAGAAAGCGGGCCGCTGCCCCGGCGGGACCCCCTCCGACCCTGCCCCGCTTCTCCCTCTCGCCCGCCTTTACCTCCGAGGGGAGAATCGGGATGGAGCGCTCGGGAGCGGCGCCTTCTGGTGCCTCAGGCTCGGAAGGACCCGGGAGACCTTCCCTCCTCCGCCCCGGACTCGCTTCTGAGGGGAGGAGAGGGCCAAGGCGAAGCCGCGGCGCCCGCCTGCCTCCCGCCCTTTGCCCGCCCAGGCAGGCCCCAGTGGGAGGCCGCGCGGCCTCCGACAGACCCGCCCCGCGTCGGCCGCGTTCCAGGCGCTGCTCTCCCTCCAAACGGAGGGCGGCAGCGGCGGCTCCCCCGCGACCGCCTGGCTCCCCTTTAGATGCACTCTGCACATGCTCGGGGGGCTCAGACAAGGGCGGGAGAGTCGTCTCCTCCTCCCGAGGAGGTTAACGTGTCTCCTTCGAACTGGGGACTCCCCCACCCCGCGGCTGGGCTTTTATGAGGGCCAGGTTTTCTCCTCAGCGTGGGGGCTTTTCGTAGCCCCCTCACCGGGCCTGGCGAAGCGCCCTTTTCCTCCCCCCTCGCGAACTACGACTCCCGTCATCCCGTCGCGAGGGCCGCGCCGGCAGGGGCCGATGGGAGTTGTAGTCTGAGGGGGAGGGGACCGGTTTCACCACGGCTTTTTGTTGGCGGCGCCCTTCAGCGGCTCAGGACCGGCTTTGTTTCTGGGACAATGGCAGGAGCCCACTGCGCTCGCTTACTCGGCAGTAGCCCCCATTGGTTTCAATGGGGCCGACTCCCGGGTAAGGATCGTGCCGCCCATTATTTATTTCTTAACCCGGCGCTTTCGGTTTGTCTCCCTCTCGAGGGGTTGCTATGGAAACCCGAGGGCGATCCTGATTGGCTCCTCCCCGTTTCAAAACCGCCACCGCACTTCCTCGTGGCCCGGATGTACGTTGCCGCCACCCAGCAACAAGCCCCAGCCGGCCTCTCAGCCAATCGGCTGCTTTTCTGCTTCTTGCGGCTGACGTCAGAAAATGCGAGCGGCGCGAGGGGTGGGGGGGGGGAGAGGTACAGGCGGTCAGGACCGGACTGCGCCGGCTCGTGACGCAGCTACGCTTTCGGAGCCACCGCTCGACCAATAGGAGCCCGGCGCGGAGTTGACGGCCTCAGCGCACGACCGTGCGACGCAACGACGCCTTCCGAGGAAGGATCAGCGAGCCAATAAGAGGCGCCGATCGCGCCAGGCGTCAGCGTGCGTGCGTGCGACGGACGTGCGTGTGTGACGCACTTATTTCCCCCCTCAACTTCCCTCGGCGCTTCTCGACCTCTCGCGTGAGGCGACAGCAGCCAAGGCGGGTGTCTGTGGAGCTGCCGCCGCGGCCTCCTCCGTTCGTGGCGTGTACGGCCGAGGCGCCCACCCGAGCGAGCGAGCGGCGAGGCCCGAGCCGCCTTCCCGCGCTGAGGCCGGGCGCAGGAGCGCGCGGCTCGCCCTCGTCTCCAGGCCCAGGCCAGGCTCGGGTGAAGCCCCGCCGGGGCCCCGGAGGATTCTGGGAAAGGGTGAGTGGTGCTCGGGAGGTGGGAGGGGCCGGGGGCGAGGGGGGTCTTTGTGCAGCGCCGAGCGCACGAGAGTGACGTAGAAGAAGCCCCTTCTGTGGTCCCGGGGCTTGTGGGTCGCTTGCAGGGATCCCCTAGTGTGTTATTGTTAGCGTTGTATTTATATCCCGCCTTTTTCCCTTTCGGGTTCAAGGAGTGGCTTACAGCTAGAACAGAAACAGTTAAAAAAAGAGGGGAGAGGAAAAACCCCAATAATTGAAAAAGGATTCATCATCAATGTTAGTATGCCATATAGGAGAAGGAAAATTCTAATCCCGAAGCCCTGCTGCTATATGGAATATCTTTGTAAGAAAAAGCTAAAGAGTCGATCCTACACAAATCCAGAATGCCGCCTTGTACACCTCCTTCTGGCAGCTCCTGCAGGCAAGCTGGTGCCAGATATGTTGCTCTGCTTTCCTTTGTTGGGGGCCTTGTCTTCTGGACAGTCCAGAACCTCCAGACACACTGCCCAGCCTTGCGCCCCAGGGAGGTCACATTGGTGCTGCTAATGCAGTGCTTTATAATAATAATAATAATAATAATAATAATAATAATAATAATAATAATGTTATTATTTATACCCCGCCCATCTGGCTGGGTTTCCCCAGCCACTCTGGGCGGTGTGCAGCCAAATATTAAAAACAATACAGCATCAGACATTAAAAACTTCCCTAAACAGGGCTGACTTCACCCCTGGAGGTGCACTGCATTATTTATTGAGACTGACTGACGCCAGCAACAACAAACTATGTCTCAGCACCAGCCCTTTCCTTAAAAGCAGCCTGTTCCCTAGCACTTGTTGGCACAAGAAAGTTGTCACCTGCCAACAGAAGGACAACAAGGAGGAGCCCATCTGGTTTCTCTAGGGAAGGGGTTTCAAAATCTGGGGACAGCCACTGAGAGCCTTCGGTGTGGCATACAGTAGGTAAAGACTGTAAAACAAGTCTGCTGGACTAGGCCAAAGGGGCTCGTCTAGTCCAACATCCTGTTATTGCAGTGGCCAAACACATGGCCCAAAGGGAAAGAAGCCCACAAGCACAAGAGTGTTTCTCCGTGCTTCATTTTCCAGTAACTGGTATTCAGAAGCATTGCTGATAATAGCATTATGTAACAATTATTGCCTCCAACATTAGAGGCAGAGCTTAGCTATCATGGTTAGTAACCATTGGTTGCGTGACATCTTCCATGAACTTGGCTAATCCTCTTTTAAAACCATCCAAGTTGGTGGCTGTGGGAGCAAGTGTCATAGTTTAGCTATGCAGTGTATGAGGAAGCATGGGTGTAAACTTTGGGATGAGTGAGTACAATGTCTCTGTGTGTTTATATTTGTGTTTTCCGCCTATTTGGGGCGGGCCTCTCACTCAGCAGCAGAGGGTCCCAGGTTGATTCTCCAGAATCTCTGATTTGTAGGCTCTTTAGGTAGCTGAGCTGGGAAATCCTAAGAGGTTTTAAAGAACTGCTACCAGCCAGAAAACAACAACTGCTGGGATAATGTGCAAGTGAGAGTGGAGGATGGCACTTAAGCATATGAATGGGAACCCCAAAGTAGGACCTGAGTTCATATCTGTGTCATGGCAGTGCTCCATCACCGCTCTCAGAAGCAGTTGCTGGCAATCCCTACTGTTGCTCTCCCGTTCTGCTTTGGAGTTCCCATTTGGCCAGTAGACTAGGTGGGCCTTTGCCCTGTTCCACTAGGGCAAGAACTATCCTTTTCTTATTTTCTCCTTTCATTGGAAACAAGGTTCTGCCATGTGTGTAGCTATTTGAAGTATAAAAAGATAAGCACCAGGATTAGTTAGAGAACTGTTTTTTAGTAAGTGAAAGTGTTAAGAGGCAATTGGGGAACCATACAATAGAATTTTTACCCCAAATGAAGGTTATTTTTTAAGTTATATTATTTAATGGCCCTACAATGTTATTGGTGGATGAAAAAGTTGATAATCATAAGTGTTTGTCATGCTGCCTTGAATGTTTCGCCTGAGTGTTTTCATAAATTAAACACTATCTTGGATACATATGCATATTTTTAAATGGCAACTATTGTTGCATATCTTTGCATTTTATTGATTCGGTGAAACTTTTTAAATGGAAACATTGGTAGCGGAGCTAAAATTCACACAGCTATTTTTAGACACTGAAGCTCAGGTTTGAATCCCCACTCTGCCAACTTAACTTACAGGGTTGTTGCGAGGTAAACATGATGTGGAAGAGAAATGCACACTGCCCTTAGCAGTACCTTATATGGTACTGGAGTAATATTTTTGTCTTTGCCAGTTGGGCAGCTAGAAAATAAATGAAAGCTGAAAATAAAAACTATCAATTTGTTAGTACTGTACATCAAGCAGGAGGGATAGGGCTGTATGAAAGTAACAGAAAAATCATTTGGATTAGACCAGGCATAGGCAAACTCCAGCCCTCCAGATGTTTGGGACTACAATTCCCTTCATCCCTGACCACTGGTCTTGTTAGCTAGGGATGATGGAAATTGTAGTCCCAAGTATCTGGAGGGCTGGAGTTTGCCTATGCCTGGATTAGACTGAAGGTACATATCCAAGACAGTAAGTCTAACAGTTTGTATGTGAGTGATGGTACTATGGGGTGGTTGCACATTTAGATGGAGGTTACTTTAGATGGTTTGAAGATCACACAGCCACAGGCTAGCTTCTAGTGGTGCATATCAGTAGCTTTGGGAAGGACTGACAAGGAGGTTGTAATGAGTGCAAGTGCTAATGCCTGGTCCTTGGAAGTTCTTTGAAACCACCAGGATAGCATGCAGCTGTGTGGTTTAAATCCTTTCTGTGTGACCATCTCAGCCCAGGGCCACAACTGGAGAATGTAAAGAAATGATGCTGTTATGTGAATAAACTGTTTGGCTTTAGAGAAACTTTCAGTGACATACAGGCAGTGGTTTGAGTTTTTTAAAACTTTCATTTTTTGTGGCCAGTATCCGTATGCTCTACCTGTTAAGAAACCTTAGACGCAATGGTAGCCACCAGTGTTAGAAACTGAGATATGAAAGCTAGGAGCTAAAGTTAGGCACCTTAAACCTAGGTTATGGGCGCAGCAACGGAATGTCTAGGCGCACTTTTTATAGCAAGAATACAAAGCTGAAAATGAATGAACTGCAGCTAAAATATTATGTTCATTTTTCACATGGTCTAGTCCTTCCCCTGCCCACCCCCTAATATTCTTAAGAGGGTCTCTTCTCCAGTATTCAGAGAGTAGCTGGAAGTTGGGAGGCAGAAAAAGGTCCTCCTTTCCTTCCACTCTGCAGTTTTTCTCTGAAATCTTAGGTGCAGTACTGTGCCCAGAGCTCAGAAATTGCTTGTGCTAATGAAATTCCCTGTTGCAAAACGTGCCTAGAACAATGGGAGTTTTGAACACTGGTAGCCATGCCTACCCAAGTTAAAAACTGGTGACTTTTAGCTGAGCTTTGCTTGCAGTGATGTTTGAGGGAGCCATGTTTGTCTGCTTTGGCAAAACCCCTTATCCAAAGCATGTGGAGGTATGATTTTATTTTATTTATTTATTCAGTTTGTATACCTCCCTTCTTCATAGATCTCAGGGCGGTTCACAACATAAAAATATAAGATAAAAACAGAAAACACATAATAAAAACAAGAAGAAAACAAACCAGTAACCCTCCCACAACTCCAACACTCATGTTAAACTCAAGCCCTTAGTTTTGTTTTCGTTTTTAATCAAGTACTAACTTGGGTCTGTCTTCATCATAGGGTAATGGGAATCCTGAGCGAATGAACATTGTCCACGTGAAGTAGCCTGGAATAAGATTAAGGTGAGAGTTTGAATAAGGAGTGGAATGATTGGGAAATGCTTAGGACTACATACAAGATGTAAGAAGGAAAATGTTCAGCTGCTTCTTTATTTTACAATATCTTTAGGCTGGCTTTCTATTCGAGGAAAAATATAGCCAACAAATATAGTTAAATAAAACGTGGAGAATCTCTGCTAATTGCTCATGGAATCTAAAGTGCCTACAGCAGATGATCTGGGCAGATACAGACTTCCCAGAAGTTAATGTTCCACAACTGAACAGCTACAGAAAAGACCTTATTCCTAATGGATGTTAGCTCCCTAAAGCATGCTAGGAAGATAATGGAGATCTATTTTTCTATAGACAGTGGACTTTTGTTTGTTGGTGTAGAAATGTTTGTGTAGAAATGCTCAGTGAGATGAGAGCCATACATGCAAACCTGATGTCTCAGGTAGTAACAGCCAGACATGAATATCATCACTTCAGTACAGTCAGTGCCTTTGGATGGGATACACCTTTGCAGGAGATCCTTTGCTACCATGTTCTTTTAAAGAGCTTTCCAGGAGCATCAGGC